AATGCTCTATTGCAGCCACTTAGTAGATAACTCCCTAATTCCCACTGTATTAGGGAGCTATCTAGCAAAAGTGAAAAAAATGACTTAGTATTAGTACATTCTGCCTCTACTCGCTATACCGCGAGTAGGGGCATGTATATTAAACAGTGAGAAGCCTGTAGCTGCTCACTGTTGTAAAAAACAAACATCAACAAAAATGTCCTCCCCCAGCCCCCACCCCTGAGCGGTGGGTAGGAGCCCTAAATAACAATAAGGAGGGGTACCTATAATTCTCCCCCCTGGCCCCCATCCCTGAGAGGTGGGTGGGAGCCCTAAATTAGAATAAGGGGGGGACCTATTGTCCTCCCCCTCCACCCCCACCCCTGAGCGGTGGGTGGGGGCCCTAAATACCAATAAGGGGGAGACCTATTGTCCTCCCCCCTAACCCCAGCCCCTGAGCGGTGTGTGGGGGTCCTAAATAAAAACTATTGTCCTCCCCCTTATTTAACTTTAGGCCCCCCACCCGCCGTTCAGTGATGGGGGCTGTGAGGGGGGGGGGATAGTTTTGTTTTTTTGGGGGGCCACAGGCTGCTCACTGTTTAATAGTCATGCCCCTACTTACGGTATAGCGAGTAGGGGCATAATTTACTAATACTAAGTAATCTTTACTTAGTATTAGTAAAGTTGGCTGTAAGACCAATTTAGGTCTTTCAGCCTTTTAGTAGATAGCTCCATTGACAGGCTAAGTAACTTACATTTTACATGAATGTGTGTTACTTGATTGTTGTAAGTTTGCAGATGCTTACAACTGAATCCTGGCTATGTTAGTATACTTTTTATTTAACACCTTCAGGACAGAGTCAATAGTACACATTCTGATCAAAACTAAAACTGGAATTTGCACTATATGTCTGTTCAACCGTAATTCACCTCTTTCATATTAAGTATACCCACACTTATTATATATAATTTTGTTCAGGAGTAACAGGGCTTTAATTTCAGATGAACTATTCATATATGAAACATAATTTATTATGAATAAAATTAAAAAAAACTGTGAGAAATGTAAAGATAAAAATTTAAATGTGTAGTTCCGCCTCACATTTTAGCTGTAAATTTCATAATACTGTTAGCTTTAACTGCAAAAAACGCACACATTTAGATTCAGCAAAGTCTCACGGGTACAACAGTAGCCCCCATTAACAGTTTTCAAAGTGTTTTGGAAAGTTAAAGGGTCACATATAACACATTCCATTTTTCAGTTTTTTCACATTGAAATTTGCCAGATTAGTAATGTTACCTGTAAGACCGTGTGGTAGCCCAGGAATGAGATTTACCCCCATGATGGCATACCATTTGCAAAAGTAGACTACCCAAGGTATTGCAAGCGGGATATGTCCAGTCTTTTGTAGTAGCCACTTAGTCACAAACACTGGCCAAAGATAGCATTCATATTTGTTTGTGTGTGAAAAAAGCAAAAAACTAATATTTGGCTAGCGTTTGTGACTAAGTGGCTACTAAAAATGACTGGACATACCCCATTTGCAATACCTTGGGTTGTCTACTTTTGCTAATGGTATGCCATCATGGGGATAATTCTTATTCCTAGACTACCATACGGTCTCAAAAGGCAACATAACCAATCTGGCAAGTTTCAATGTGAAAAAAATGAAAAGCAAGCCTTTTATTTCACTCTCTAACTTTCCAAAACACCATAAAAACTGTACAAGAGTGGTACTGTTATACTTGGGAGACTTTACTGAACACAAAAATAAGTCAGTAAAAGTGCCGTTCCTGTGTGAAAAATGCAAAAAAAGTCACATTTACTAAAAATATCATTGTTGTAATACAAGTTACCATTTTGAAACACTAATATTTGTGTTCAGCGAAGTCTCCCAAGTAAAACAGTACTCCCCATGTACAGGTTTTATGGTGTCTTTGAACGTTACAGGGTTAAATATAGTTCTTGCAATTCAAATTCTCTGCACTTTCTGCCTGGGTTTTCAGGCATGTCAATCAAATTTTAATTAGTTAAATTAATAATTATTTTAAAATATTACTTAAATATACATGTAGAATTTTAATATAGATACATATATATGTATTTAAAGTTTACGTGTACACTTATGTAGTTATTTATGTAATTATATATATTTATCTGTATAGATATATATTTGCGGTTATTTGTATTTTATATATAGATAGATAAATAGATATAGAATGTCATTCTAAGTGTATTTTGTTACCTATATATATTAATAACAAAATACAGTTAGAATGAAAGTACATATGTATATATAATTTATTTAAATTTTTTAAAATATTTTATTTATTCATTTTATTATTTTATTTATTATTGTAATTATACGTGTATAAATATAAAATATATATAGATGTATTATACATATATAATATATATATCTTGTATATATGTAATGTTATTCTAAGTGTATTTTAATACTAATATATATGCTTATATTAACATATATTAAAATACACTACATATGACGTTACATATATATATAAATATTTATTTTAATTTTAAAACATGTTTAATAAAAAATGTTTTCACTACCCACCAGCAGGGGGACTGTTTGACAGTCCAGACAGTCCCTCTGCTGGCAGATCCACAGCCAGCTATAGGGGGGCACGATTTGCCGTGGGGGGGCTGCCTGGGCTGTCAGGCAGTCCTCCCTAAGAGGATTGCAGTGGAGTTAAGTTAATTTTACCTCCGAGGAGAGAAAGCCATTGTGGTGTTCAATGCCGCCGCAACGGCTTTAAAGCCCATTTAAATGGGGACGGCATAGAACGCCGTAACAGCATTAAGGGGTTAGAATGTATCCAGTGTAACATTCTTCATTCTTCCACTGGGTAGGTATATTAGTACTTAGGCAATACTGTGCTTCGGCTCTTTGACAATTCGGAACTTCGGCAACTTCAGAACTTCAACACTTCGGAAATTCAGCAATTTCAGAACATTGGCAATTCGGCAAGTCAGCTATTCGGACATTCGGAAGTACCCAAATGTCTGAATGGCCCAAAATTCGTCCGAATTCCCATTCGGACCAAAACAAATTGCACATGTCTAGCCTGCATATCTTTGCGACTGTGTGTCTGAATAATTATGTGTGTCTGTATGGTTGTGTGTTGCTATATATCTGTCTATGTGGCATGAGAGGAAAGAGAAACACAATGGGCCCTGGGGGGGAAAGACAAAAAACTGGCCGAGGGGAGAGAGCCACAGAATGGGGCTGGGGCAGTGGCGTACACACAATTCATGGGGCCCCGGTGCGAAACTGATCCCCTGATCCATGCCCCTCCCCTGATCCATGCCCCCCATCCCTCCTGACACATACACACAGACACACACACAATCATACACACAGACAGACACACACACATACATACACCCCTCGACAGACACATACATACAGACACACAAATATACACACAGACAGACACACATACAGACACATACATACACACACATAGAGACGCAGAAACACATACAGAGAGACACACACACATACACATACATAGACACAGACACATACCCTCACAATCCATATCCATCGGGTGGCCCTAAAAGCACGGTTTGCCGCGCGGGCCGGGGCCGCAAAACGTGGTGAATGGTACCCGGTCACAGGGGTCCGCAGGGCAGCCAGGACCCCTGGAGTGCCGGGCCTGGTTGCAACTGCGACCGCGGTATGTACGCCACTGGGGTGGGGGTAAAGAAAGAGACACACATAGGTGCTCAGGAAATTAAGAGATACACAAGGGGGGTTGTAAGAGACACAGGTGAAGACGCATTGAAGACATAATAAAGGGGGGTTACAGTACAATAAAGAGGGTAGGAAATTCAAAAAGGGGGGCTACGAAACACAGAGCACTCGGACAGCTGCAGCATGGGGGGCCGGCGGAGCTGGGGGGATTTCCCCATAACCTGTCCCCCCCGCATGATTTGCTGGGGGGGACGCGTCCCCCACAACCCCCCCCCGGTTCCTACGCCCATGACTGCAGACCCCACTTCCAGCGATGCAGCTGCGCCGGGGTCTCACCATCTCCACCCACCCTGGACCCAAGGCCAGGATCCAGCTCCCAGTGGATATGCAAATCTACCCAAATATGCAATTTACCAGTCTTGCTATTCAGGTAGTGCATATTACTGTTGCTACCATCAGAGGGCACTACACAAGCTCCATAGCCAAATCCACCTAGTTGGTAGCAATCCTCAGCAGTACAGGAGAGCAGGCAATACATCCCAGGGGCCATAGTCACATGGCAGGAGGCTGGCAATCAGTCTTCTCCAGGCACAAGTGGCGATGTTAATTTCGCCACAATAGCGCTTAGAGAGCCTTTTCAATAAGGCCAATGTACCTAGTACACCGCTGATTATGAAGCACTTAAACATTATTTAAGGGTTTCCTCTAAGTTTCCTAAAATCTGCTTTTTATTTTCATTTATACAATGTGAAATGTTGCTTGAATGGCTTGATTCTTTTTTTGTAAATCTTTTTATTGAGATATTTCAAAATGTGGAAAGCAGTTAATTGGTAAACAGTGTGAAACTCGCAGGTTTCTGTAGTATATAGGTACACATTACACAATACAATGAGATATGCAAATCTCCACACAACTTTCCCTAAAGGGACTCGCAGGTCCTTATGCAAGATGAGTATGCTGTTCACACTTTGAAAGCAATGTAATTATACGTCGGGGGGAAACAGTAGTATTATATAAAATGGAACGGCTGGAGCAATCAGATTGCCTCATTTAACCAATGTATACGTAAAGGGTAAACAGAAGTTGCGTCGGGACAGGTCGTTCTCAACTATTTATGGCGGGAGCCACATGACAATGCGTTACCTGGTCGTTTGGGCGGGTAATTGAAGCCATTATAGGAAAGGCGGGCCACTGGCTCCCGCTGGGTTCAGACCCGTAGGTCTGTTTTGGTGTCGCTAGGTGTATCCTAGCACGCAGAAATGGTGGGAGTGGTCCTAGTTCGTAGCTAGCATGCGCTACGGCCAGCGTCGTTACCAATCCCGGCAGAGCCTGCAGTTCGCCAATATCCCATAGTGTGAGTTACATGTCGTTGTCAGTGACAACGCGATTATCAGTGTGAGTGAGTGCGCTACGTCATTGGTGTGTGTACCAACGTTAGCATTTGGTGAGCGTGATGTAGGTCTACTTGGTACACGACCGTAAGTGATGAACATGTGTTGTCCCTTACCTCGATTTGCGCCACAATAGTGTGTGTATCTAAGAACATCTCGTGTTCCCCAAGCTATGGTCTATCGTTCAGATCCAGAGAGGGCTAGAAGCATATGTGACGTGAGTGTGTAGCAAATTGCACGTCCAATAATATATCCCCCTAAGAATGGCTTGATTCTTGATGCGCTCATACAATTATATCCTTAAAAAACAGGTTATTAATTGCATCACCAGTTCTCCACACGTGGAACAATATGTTGCCTTTCCCTTGTTGAATAAAATCATGCAGTGTTGATAAACATATGACTCACTCCCTCGCTGGTTAATGCTATGATGTCAATGGCTGTGGTGAGGTTAGTGTGATATCTCCATATTGTTTTGATTGTGCCCTGGTGGAAATGCCAACAAGCAATGAAAACACTTCCCCGTCAGAGTCATCTGGTCAGGACAATAAGATGGGAAATAAACCTATTTCCTTGTCTCGTTACATCAGAGGAAGTTATATCAAACCCCACCCCTAACCAATACGGAGGTTTTCAGTTTCAGTTTTCTTTCAGGCAGGGAGTGGATTGAGGGATGAGGAAATATCTGATGTTTCTGAATGGTTAACCTGTCAGCAACACCCAGGGAGGGGAAGTGAATGAAACAAGGAATAGCTAGTAATTACTTTTGGAGATTCATAGAGGCAACTAGAAAACTTCTAGTTGCAATTTCAGATATTCCCAAGATTTCCATGCACATCTCTAAGAAAATCCAAAGTATCTGGTAAATGGCACGAACTATAATGTTTGTAAGAACTCTGCATAAAAAAACCCAAACATTAGGTTCATCTAAATGATTTGTTCTTCGTTGTTCCTCATGTTTCAATTCAATGAAGAGCATATTAAGATCTCTTAATTTTGTGAAAAAAAAGAAAAAGGAAAAAAAAAATTGTTTTGTTTTGTTAATGGAATTCCATTAATTGTATTCTAGTAATTGTAATAATTAATAATGTGTTTTGTTTTTTATATGCAGAATACATGAAAATATAACAGACCATCTCTGTGTTTTGAGAGTGATATTACGTGATGTATGTGTGCTGATGAGTGTGATGTGAGTGGGATATGTGTGTAGTTGGCTGAAAGATGGTAACAACTGTATACAACTCAATGACAAACAACCAAGATTAAATTAAGTGTACTGAAAATAACGGAGTAGCGGCAACTAAGTGTGAACAGGTTTTCCGATGACTTGCAGATTAGCCACTCACTGGTAAAGCAACAAAACACATGCTGTCTAATTTTGCACACCTCCAAGATGACGCAACCCAAGGAGGTAATAAATTTGAGAGTTACAGCCAGACAATAGGTATAAATTGTGGCTCTCTGGAGACAAGATTTCACGAGTCTGAGAATATTGTCTAACCCATTCCCGACCTCGGACGTACCTGGTATGTCCGATCCCAAGTCTGCACTTACCTGATCGCGGGAGATCCCCCGCCGGCGATAATGATGTGGGGACTTGCCTGGCAGCGGATCCAGCCCCCAAGCCATATGATTGCAGGGTCCTTGCGATCACATGGCCAGAATAGCCGGCTTGTGCAGGCTGTCCCCCTCATGCCTGCATAAAAGTTTAGAAAGTTAATAAAAGTACTTTGAATATATACAGTATATATATCCTGATGAAAGTCCCCTGTGCAGGACTGAAACGTTGATCGCCTTTTAAATATTTAATAATACATTTTGGATTTTTTAAATCCGTGAGTGCAGCTACCTATTTGGAAGAATATATATATATATATATATATATATATATATATATATATATATATATATATATATATATATATATATATATATATATATAAAATATGAAATACCTTGTTGGAAAAAAGTCCCTAGTGGACTGAAACGTCGACACTATATAATCAACTTTTGAAGCTTGATCTCAGGATCTCCCCTGTCGGCTCATGCAGAGCCGGCGCTATCCGAGCGCCGGCTCTGCTCTCAGCCTCCCTCCCCACTGACCCGCATGCAGGGAGGGAGGCAGGAGAGGACCCGGCGGAGCTATTGCCGGCAGCTCCGCCGGGTTCCTCTCGCGAGATATGAGCGTTGCCACGGCAACGCTCAAATCTCGCGAGAGTGAACTCTAGCCCCACAGGGGCTAGAGTTCACTCTCCACTGGACCACCAGGGAAAGCAGCAGCACGATCCCCCCTCCCTACAAAAGGTAAGAAGGGAGGGGGGATAGCAATTAATGTACCCCCACCTCCACCCCCACAATCACCCACACACACATACAGCACACACACATACAACACCCACACACATACACAGCACCCACACACATTCAGCACCCACAGACATACACAGCACCCACACACATTCAGCACCCACAGACATTCAGCACCCACACACATACACAGCACCCACACACATACAGCACCCACACACATACATCACCCACAGACACAGCACCCACAGACATACACAGCACCCACACACATACAGCACCCACACACATACAGCACCCACACACACATACAGCACCCTCACAAACACACAAACAGCACCCTCACACACACACAGCACACTAACAGTACCCTCACAAACACAAACAGGACCCTAACACACACACAGCACACTACCAGTACCCTCACACACAAACAGCACCCTCACACACAGTACATTAACAGCACCCTCACAAGGGCACACAAACACACACAGTACATTAACAGTATCCTCACAAGCACGCACACACAAACACCCACATAGCACACTACCAGCACCGTCACACACACATCACACTAACAGAACCCTCACACAGCACACACACACACACAGCAGTGTGTGTGTGTGTGTATATATGTGTATGTGTATATATATATATATATATATATATATAAAAATAAAGTAGTGGGTAATAGCACTCCAAGGACTTCAGAAAGTATAAGGTGAAAAAAAACTTAGCTTTTATTCAGCAGCTGCCACACAGAATCGACGTTTCAGTTCTAATACAGAACTTTCATCAGGATAAGGTGCATAACAAAAACCAACATTTATATAACAAACAAATAAGTACATAATATACAAAACAGGTGAGGCTTACCCCAATCCCTGTGTGGTCCCCATGGTGACCGCCAAAAAACGCGGGCAAACTTGACCCCTACAAGTGTATTCAGCAGCTGGGATGTGCTGCTGTATGGCGGTAGCTGGAGCCGACGTCTGTCTGTGTTGACATGTCGTCATAGTAACCAAACCGCTCGTGTAGAGGTGGGCGGGGCGGGGACTCAAGTGGGCGGGGCTATGGTGCGATCGATGCAACGAGTTCAGTGCACGGAGGGCGGGCAGGAATCTACTGTGGGGAGGGAACCTCTCTCTACATTGCAGTGCCCTGCCGTCCTGTAAATGAACGGACTGGCAATATTCTATCATAGTCCTGCGAACAGGGGCACGGAGTAACCAAGTAAAAAAGGAAAAAAATAAAAAGTAGATACATTGCATCATATAGGGCAAGGCAGTGGTAAAAATAAAGAGTAAGCCTAAACAAGGCTATAATATGACCATAGGGGGCTGGAATGAGGACATATATAGAGTGCCTCAAGATTAGCTTGCAAATGGCAGGTTTTAAGGCTGGACAATGGGTAGGATTAAGTCTGCATATAAAATGCTGGCTCAATAGGTGTAGTGTAACAGGGGCCAGATGTTATAATGTCTGGTACTAAGTGATGGTGCTCAATGAGTCAACAGGGGATAAACAGTTAGCCCTACATTAAATACATATAGTTGAGGGGTGTTCGGCTAATCTTTCGGCAGGTGCACTCTATAGTTGATTTTATTCCCCATTAAGCCCAAGGGATATGGATAGAACTGAATAGGCAGTGGACAGGGGTGAAGAGAGTAGGACAATTTTCGGACTGCCCGGGGGATGGTGTGGGTAAGCTATATATATATATATATATATGCGCAATTATAATAATATAATGTTATGTTACCTGATCACAAAATTGAAAGGATATGCAAAACTCACCAGCCTCCCTTACGCAACTACTTGTACTAATTTATGCTGTTAACTGTTATGCAAGGTATTGCGAGACCAAACGTTTTCTACTACATTAGAGACCTGCGAGTCTTAGGTTGCTTTGACGATCTTTTTCTTTCTGTTCTATTAATAATAAAATAAAAACAATCATTATTACATAGAAGTAAATACTAATGTATTAAATAAAACACTGGAGAAATCATAACAGTAAGAACTTGTTAGATAATAATAGAAAATAAAGGTGAATAGAAAGCAAGTGAAATTAAAAGATGAAAAGCTAAAATTAAGCCAGTAGGTGTCAGAGTTTAACGTCTAATCTAATATAGTCATCTCCACTTCTCCAGTAACATATATGACATAGAATGTATGGCAAAATGTGCCAAAACACAATGGGGTTTGTCATTATGCAGCAAACTTTATAGCTGAGAAAACTGCAAACGTTAGGCTAAAATATTCGCATTGGAAGTTGGAACATTTTTCCAGCTATATCTTGGCTTCATATTTGCAATTACTTTTGGCAATTCTCTGCTGCTCATAATTACCACATTCTTTCTCTGTTTTTGTGAGTATCTATATATATATATGTACAAATTCTCACTGTGTGGTCCACATATGCTACAGGGCATAGTATAGGAATCCATATGTTTATTCATTTTTAAGCAGTTCCAAGGCCAGGGCTTCATTATAGATTATATTGGGTTTAGTAGTTAACATTATTATTATTATATTTTTTTTAATTTTAAAGTCTTAAAATAAAATTAAGTGAGTAATACAATTATCAGAACAAATTTAGAACACAATAAAAGGTCACTGAGGCAGCCTCAAGTACCAAACAGATAAATCACTGTCATACCTTATTACTGATACAGTAAACTGTAGGTGTAATGATGCTCACAGGTAGACCCTTATTTAATATACCCTAATCAACACAGCAGCTGAGAAGAATGGTTTACTTTCATTATGTTTTTGTTCCTCTTTATGTATAAGTTTGATGATGTTATCCAAAAAAAAGACAGTCTTTCATGGCACTTCCTGCAAGAGGATACACCAATTAAAAGGCACTATTGTATTATGGTTAAGTGATATTGTGTTTGTTTTTCACCCGATTCATTG